CACGTGCTTGTGGTCCGTCCCTGTGTCGGATGCTGTTACTATGGAAACCAGGATGAACAAGCCGGAGAGATAACAAGCCAAGCAAGGCACGGGAAATCCCAAATCGAGTTTACACCCTTAGTCAGAACATGCATACATAAACCATAATCTGTTTATATGAATTTTACTACAACACAGCTCTGCCTGAACTGTATTACCGGCACATACAGCATACACATTAGTCCTGCTATGGACAGAAATCAGATTTCGCCGTGTCTTTAATATGGACCCAACCACAGTGCTCAAATATATGTAAGGGTTAGGGGAAAAAACAGGAAACACAGAACCGCTCGATAAATCTGAAGCATACAAATGTAGGGCCCCGTCACACAATTCTGCCAGCACAATTCAACCTGCACTTTATTTAATGGAAGTCGTTCCATCGCTAGGAAAAGCCTTAAATATTCTTAACTGCTAGTGATGGAGTCACATTTCACTAGTCCGTGCAGCAGCAAAGCGGCACCATGAAAAGGAGATGAGTTGACTTTTTTTGCTGGTGAGGCCTCATTAACGACAGGATCACCAATGAGCAGGAGTCCTTAACCTTTTTAAGACTACAGACCCCCAGTGGATTGGCCAAACGTTTCCCACACCCCCCTCGCCAGACTGTCGAAAACACCATCATTAGTCCTATTATTACCAAAAGATATCAACAGACTGGTTATACCTCATATATGGATAACAGAACATCTGAAAGAAAACAATTTTCATTTATATCAAAAAAAGGCCGACCGCAATTATACAAACCTAGCTACAACTAGTGAGATATTTTTGGAGAAAACATAGAATGATGGTAGAGTTAATGACAATGTTATTCAAATATCAACTGACTATTTTTTTTTAAACGATAAATTCAGAGATCCTGTCCCATACCCCCATCATTTGGTTACCATACCCCTATGAAGAATGGATACTCCCACTAAAGAACTTACGCTATAGGCCTTTAAATGGCAGTAGAAAGCCGTCACAGATTAAATGATATTAAAGTCAAAGGGTTTTGAAGCTATTTGAAATGCTTTATCAGCATGGATGAACTGAACAAATCAATAAAATCCAGGAGAAACCATTTATAGGCTAATTCAACAGATATGAAAATGTGTAATTTTTTTTTTACTAAACCTTAACTGCATATTAGAGGCCCTCAAAGGTGCAGACAATGTAGTCTTTTGATTACAGTTCTCTTTAGAGATGAAGTTCTCTTTAGAGCGACCCAGTAAGTAAAGGTGCCCATACACTGCACGATTCTCGTACGAGAATCGCGGGAAATCCCACGATCGTACGAGAATCGTACAGTGTATGGAAGGCATGCGACATGAGTGATTTCCACTCATCTCATAGTTCTAAGCCGACCTGTGACAATGAGACTGTCACAGGTCGGCTCAGTAGATCGGGAGGTGAGGGAACACATACCGGGTTCCCTCACCTCTCGATCCTGTCACGGCTCTCTACCGTGACAGGGGGAGGGGCTGGATTCCCCTCTCCCCGCTCCGATCTGCCAGCGCTGACTGGCGGAACGGACGGGGGAGGGGGCGGGTACAGCTGGCTCTGCCTCTAGATAGGCAGAGCCAGCTGTCACTCACGCAGCTGGGCGGATCCCGTCATCTAAGTCGGGATCCGCTCCAGGTGCGGCGTCTCAGTATACCGCGAGCTGTAGCTCGCGGTATACTGAGCTTAAGAGTTAAGTGCTGTTTTTTCCAGGGAGCTAAAAATAACAGATATACTCATCCCGACTTGCTCCTAGACCGATCCCTTCAGCCTCGCTTCCCCTCCACTCCAGCGGTCTAAGGTCCTGTAAGTCATCACATGCTACACAGTATATAGAACATGAGAACGCCGGGGGACATACCATCGCAGTGAGGACTGGGGCTGAAGGCAAGTATAAGATCTAGTCTGCAGCACTCAGAGGGTGAGGACAACTTAATACTGGACAAAAATATATAAAAAACAAACTTTCTTTTAGATTTCAGTAGAGTAGGGAATGGATGAAACCTGCCATTTTTTTTATTCTTGCCCATTTGTGTCCTGTTAGGAAGATTATTATTATTATTATTGTTATACAGGATTTATATAGCGCCAACAGTTTGCTCAGCGCTTTACCATATAAGGAAGACATTACAATTACAATACAATTCAAGACAAGATGGGAAGGAGGGCCCTGCCCCTGAGGGCTTACAGTCTAAAAGATTTCCCCTTGCTTCCAGTCTCAGATACACAAGAGGAAGCAAGCTGAAAGTGTCTCCAACACTGAAAGGCCCACTTGAATGTCACTAGAACAGGTGTCCCCATTAGATGATTTCCCCTCATCTCCTGTTCAGATGACAGCCGTACAATTTTGGATCTCCCATCACAATTCTGGGTTTCCCATCACTTTCTTTTCTGGTCACAATGGTCATCAGGCCAAATAGAGAGGGGAAGCCTCCCCAGAATGGGCACAGACAGAAATGAGAAAAAAAAAGGTTTCAACTCTTCCCTATGCTATGCAAAAAGTAAAAAAGAAAACCAATGTTTGGCTGTATATATACTTGAAGGCAGCAGGACATAAAACACAAGGAATCCACAAAGCACTCCAGATTTTTATTTTTGGGTTATTCTGCACTTCTAAATATGGTTTTTAACTAAGACGTAAAGTTGCACTTCAAACCAATTACAAAAACCAACAGACTCATCACATTTTCCTTCATTATTTATCAGCCCGGCAGCCTATGTTGCTCATATGCATGCATTTTGGCACAGTCTTAACACACAAACAAGTTAGCCCGTAGCAAACAAAACTAACGTTTAATCCGTGTATGCAGATTAATACGCCTACAAGGAACTCTTCACTTTAAACTGAATGTGAACTCTGCTGTCTGAGGGACTGATCTGCATATACTCGGATGAGGCTTGTTTATTTTTCTGATGTCCGTAATGTATTTTGCATATCATTTTAGTAAATCTGTGGTCTTCGGGGGATCCTGTCATTACCATACAGAGAGGGGAAGCTTGTTTTGATTCTCCCGTCAGGAAACCTCACTAGCTTATAATGAGTTTTTGTGTCCGAGGGTCACTATGGTAACGCGTAGTAATGTGGTCACTCTATAATACACCAGAGGCCCGGATCTATTCAGACCAGGCCTAATCTGCATTCAGCAAGAAGAAACAGATTTTGGTGCCAAGTTTCTCTTTTTTTTTTTGTTCATGAAACATATATGAGCTTGGCTTGTGATGTATAATACAAAGTCGAATGTATGAGGAGTGATCTTACGGAGGTAAAGTGCTCGGGACATGTAGACAGCTCTTGCTATCCGTCTTGTGTTTGATGTTTGCCATGCGGGTATACGAATCCCCATCTCTGCCAATCTAAAGGCTAAACGGGGTGTCTGATCTGACGGGGAGTTTCATGTGAGCTGCCAGATGGAGCTTTTCCAAAGTAAACTTTATTAAAATGTTTGTGTGCTGGACGTGCTGATACGTGCATAATTATATTAGAAAGCAGATTTTTTTTGCGAGCCTGGGCAAGTCAACAGGTCCACTTTATTTCCTTCACTCCCCCTAGCACCAATCCTTTACAGATAATGGGAGCAAGGCAGACCACCCTGTGTAAGCAACAAGTCACTCAAGTAGTTTTGCAAGGCTATGGGCTTATCCCAGGTAGAAGCTCTGGTGCTTGGTTAATGGCACACGGAGTCACATGCTCTTCCACATCCGGAAGTACCAAATGTTTTCTTTGATCTTAGCAGATGAATAAAGCATCAGGGGAGCACAGAAAAGGGTAGTGCTTCTAGGGAGGGAGGCACCAAAGCAAGCCCTACATGGAAAAAGCTAACCTATACGCAGCCAAAGCATATCTAATTGCAGCCCTGCAAAATATATTGTCTGCACTTCTCCGCACATTGGTGCAAAGTCACCTGCCAGAATGCAGCTGGAGAGTCTCCAAACGGAGTACACATTTATTTGGCTTAGAGCTTCACAACATCCCTCCCATCATCTCACAATTCAAGGTGGTGAATCTCTTGAGGTGTTAAGTCGCTTTGAAGCAGCATACTTCACCCAAGGCCACACAGTAAATGGCCCCTACGTGTGCTAGAGTCCTCCGAGGACTTCCTACGTCTTCTAAAAGGGGTAGGAAGAAGAGTATGGCTGCATAAAAACAACGCATCCAGCAACGTCCAGCCTTGTGTTCCTCCTCTGCCACCTTGCCTGCCTTAGCCTCAGACCAGGCTGAGGCTGCACTGGATACTGTACGGCAGGTTGCTGTGGAGAGGTCTCTAGCTTCTACTCTGTCTCAAGGACCGGACAGTGGAGACCATCCTAGATGCCATAGAGATCTGCAAGGTGACTTTAACAGCTAAGAGGGATTAGGTATGTGGGTTATGCCAAGGGGGTGAGGGGAAACTCTAAAGGACAACTTAATTAGAAGGGAAGTTGTCCTTTAAAGCACATGCATCACCCCCCTTTCCCCAACTAATGTTTATTATTGACATATGGTATTTGCATATTCTTTGGCATGCTCCCTTTGTTACAGCTCTCAGGCCTGGTGACTGCTCAGGGGAAGTAGGAGACATGCCAGGAGTTCCCCCATACTCTGAAGTACCGGGATTGTAACTGGATAGCAGAAGGGGTAGAAAACATCATTAAAAGGAGAACTATGAGGTGAGTGCTTTTCACTCACCTCATAGTTCTAGCTGACCTGTGACAATGAAACTGTCACAGGTCGGCTCAGTAGATCGAGAGGTCTACTGAGTTTGTGTCCTCCCGTTACCCTGAGAACTATGGGGAAAAGCGTTAACCCCATAGTTCTCCTTTAAGAGAAAGTTTGGGGTCTCCAGCACCGAGCGGGGAGGTGGATTTAGACATTTTTATACTTATTTTGAACAGGTTTTGTTAATAAGTGATCGACCTGTGCTTCAGACACCTGTGAAGTAACAAGCAGCCCTGTCCTTGCATTCAAACTGGATTACAGTGTCAAATATTGAACCTACCACTTGGGCATTCCTTCTCATCCATGCTGTTTTCACAGTCCTTCTCGCCATCACACTTCCATGTTTTCGGGATACACTTACTGCTGGATTCTCCACAGCTGAACTTCTCAGGAGCGCACACCTGCTTCACTGAAAGAATAAAAAGCAATTAGTTGTGCAATTATATCAATACTGCCATCTCTTACCGTTGGATATAATAACTTATTGCAGTGCAACACATGATCTGACTGCACATTTTCCTTTAGCATTACCAACAAATATACAGTGTGCGTGTCCTTCTGACCAGATATAAACTGAATGGGTTGTTTAGCTAGGCCCTCACACTTTATAGCTTGCTAAATCTAAAGGAGACCGTACAATGATTATACCACCAGTCTTTAAAGTGACATTAAACCCTCAGATTTTTTAACATAAAACAATACTGTAATGTGTGCCTTACTGTAATCCATGGTTGTTTCCCTTCTCTTTGCTGCTCTTCCTTTTAAATCTGTATCTGTTCTCATGCTCTGCAGAACTTCTGTTTTGCAGCAGACTGCCTTGTCTCAGGAATGGATACACGGTGTCTGTGTATACGTTTGTAACCTGAGCCAGCACTACAGGAAGAGGCCCTGAGCTGAAAAGGGAAGTTCTCCCCAAGCATGAGAAGACATGAGGATTTAAAAAGAGCAGCAAAGAGAAGGGAAACAACCATGGATTACAGTAAGGCACACATTACAGTATTGGTTTATGTTAAAAAATCTGAGGGTTTAATGTCACTTTAACTTATGCCACCATCTTGATTCACAAGCAGACAGATGTTCACTGCCAATACCCGTCACTGTGTGCAAATAACCCTCTCTAAAGGTAGAACGGACCTCTAAATAAATGCCATTTTTGCAAGGTTGGCCAATGCCCTGTGTACCGATACGCAGCTTGTGAACGAGAGTAGCTTAAATGACCAGATTTAGAACAATGAAGCCAAACAGGATGAATTTACTGTCCACCAGTCCGAGTTCTAATTTAGAAAAGACCATGTGAGGCTTTTAAAACCTATGAAGTAGGACAGTCGCTTAAAGTGGACCTCCACTGGCAATTTAAAGGCTAAGTTCACGTTTCTGACCATGTTTCATGTTACACCCAAATTTAGGGTGTAACGTGAAACATGGTGAAAATGAAGTGTAGCGATGTCACTTTGATACTTCCTCCCGTCCCTGTTACTACATGTACATACCTAATTGCAGACACGGATTGGTGGAACAGTCTGCAGGAGCCACAGTAAGGCACACATTACAGTATTGGTTTATGTAAAAAAAATCTGAGGGTTTAATGTCACTTTAACAGTCTGCAGGAGCCACAGCCCTGCTCCCTCCCTATTGCACATTTTCAATAAAAATTAATTAATTCCGGTAGCAATTATTACTAGCTCCCACTTCCTCACCCCTCACCTAGGGGAGGATAACGTGGGCGTTGGTCTGCCACTTATGACCAGGTCAAACCCAGCACTAAAAGCTGGTCGCTTTAGACAAAATTGCCATGTGCACATAGTACATAATTACAATCTGTACATAGAAACAAGGTTTTATAAAACATTACCAGATTGATACGTTTATTTAACATCAGATGCATCTTTTAAAAGCTTATTTAAATAATACCCAAAATAGGATTTATTCTCTTAAAAGCCTGCCATGGTGAAATGGCTTATCCAGCAGCCCTTTTCCCCTTTTTAATTTCACAGAATGCATTGCCATACCTCTCCCTTGTACTTCATAATACAGTCAAATATCAGCCACTAGTCGCGACCACTGTGTCGCCTTGAGGAAGGGGCCATGCGTGGTCTTGAAAAATGGCTCATTGACTTATGTGACGTTGTACCAATAAACGAAAGTACTTTTTGCACCTTGAAGTACTAAGGCCCCGTTCACACTGAGCGATTTATCGCGCGATAATTCCCGCGATATTGCGGCTATTTACCGCGCGATATCGCTCTCCAATGCTTGGCAATGGGGCAAATGTCGCGGGTCGTGCGTCGCTACAGCAGGACCCTTTTTGGAGCGGATTTTGCCGCGATTCAATGCTTTTCAATGCAAACATTTGCGCGATATCGCGCAAAATGCAAATCGTGCGACAAACACGCGATTTGCGAATCGCGCAGTGTGAATGGGGCCTAAGTGCTGGTGACTTTTCTCCTGTGGATTCACAAGGCGCCATCCATGATCGTTACTGCAAGCACCACCATATCCATTTTCGTCGATGTATGGAATGCAGCTCATATCTGTATCTCTCTATAGTTTTCTAATAGAAACATTGCTGCCACACACCATACAAGGTTGAGACCATTTAATTGCAATCAAATCAAAGCAACACAGCTTGGTCAAGATCGTTTGGCTAATGAAGGGACAGCAGTTCACCAACGAGGTCATCTCTATGCTCTTCCTCTAATCAGCTAGCTCCTTTTGTTAGATTTTCAGTCTTGTATTTTTGGCTCTGTTCTGAACCTTGGGTGAAGTATTAGTACAGATGACTTCAATGAGTAGCGTTAAATCATTATTGTACTACAGTCAACATCTGCAGGCTGTAATGTTGACGGGTAAGGCTCGGTAAGAAAAAAAAGACGGCCAAATCAACATCTAGCTGGCTGTGTGCACACAACATCAAATGGTCTCATTATAAATATGTACTCACAGAACACAAGCCAACCAGCCGTAACTCATTATACCGCTGGCGGCTGGCAAGAGTGGCAGCAACGCACTGTATGACCAGGGGTGACACGGCCGCGCGAACAAATCAAACGGCTACTTTGTTATTTGTATTCGCAATGATCAGAACATTATACGATGTGCTAAGCTTGTGCCGCTCTCCGTGTGACCCGTTCCACATTTAAACAAAGCTTTGTCCCCATCTTTGTGCTGATCTTCTTCGGATAAATCAGAGGCACATAGTAACATTCTAAAACAAGCCAAAGCGGCCATGCCTAATATTGCCTGAAAATTACAATACGTATGAGCAGTAGAAATGTCCTCAGTGACATTCATTTATTGAGAACACGACATATACTACATCCTCATTGAAAAGTAATGTAAAAAAATGTATAATCTACTTGATTGATTGCAATAATCTCAAAAAATGTAATGCAGGTACGTAGTTTGATTTTGAACCAAATATTACAAGTGTCGGATTGTCAAGCCATCGCATTAAAATGTGGCCATGCAATAAAAACGGTAGATTCTCAATCTGATTTCATCTCCCAGTGTAGTGAGGACCCTGTGATCTACTTTATATGTACTATGACATACAGCTACTATCTGTACTCATGACTTGAATATACCGTGAATCTATCTCCTTGTATCGTCAGAAATACTACAGGATGTTGTTTGGCTCACTGATTCTTGGACCCCTACATGTTGGGATCTTCTTTTTTCTTTGATGTATTTAAGGCCGTCTTACCTACGTCTTTGTAATTGTTCTTAACAACCCTTTTTGTCTACAAAATGTTTTTAAAATTCCAAAATAAAGAATTAATAAAGAAAACGGTAGATTCTGCCCGGTGGGTCCATCAGGCGCTATTACATTGTACAATGCTGTCAATCTAACATGAGGGTAGAGGATGAACTGTTGGCAGCGGACAGGTGGAGGGCACAAAGAAGCTCGCTCACCGTGAGCAGGCTGATGACACAGGAAGCTGCAAAAATGTACAGCGTTATCACCATGTTGGTGGTACTGGGGCAGAGGCATATAAAATCACAAGAATGGCTGAACAGAATTACAAAACAGTTCACCAAATATGTATTTGAATTGTGTATGTACCCGTTTGGCTGCAGTTCCCCTTAAAACCCGAACTGCAGGCAAACTAAATATGCAGAAGAAATGCATTTAGGCCAGGTTCACACCCCATTTAGATCATCTCCAGACCAGATTGTTTCCGGACCCAAAATACATCCTAACGTATCCCTATGCTATTTCTGCAATACTGCATGTCTCATTTTGTCTGCACTGGAACACATGTAAATGCATAAAAATGCACTGGAACGCTCCTGAAAGTCCATTTTAAGCTTTAAAAAAAAGCAACAAAAAAATGCTCCGGAACGCGGAGAAAACGCAATGCACCGCGTTCCAGATCTGGTCCGGAAAATCTTGTGAACCTGGCCTTAAGTAGTTGTTTTCAGCTCTGCCACACAGCGCAGACCTGATTTTTCACTGCTGCAGTTCAGTGACACTAGTATGTTCTCGCTCCCCACCACCAACCTGTGAACGGACAGTGAAAGGAGAAGCAGCAGATTGATAAGCTCATTTGTCGGTCACTCTGTTCTCTCTTCCAATTAGCATGCCATTTGCACTGCAGCACTGACTGACGGAACTGACTGGTTCCTTGTGCTGATTCTCCCACTCACAGTCTGAGTTCTGTTGTACAGGGACTGCAACAGGAAGATACCAAATCAAAATCAATTACTTACACAGTTTGCCTTTACAAAATCACTGTGCAGGATGTATTTATGAATACAGAGCTGTATTAATTTGTGGCAGATTTATATCTACCTGGAGCTCCGCTAAACCAGGGGTGGGCAACTCCGGCCCTCCAGCTGTGCTTTAACTACAAATCCCCACATGCCTCTGGGAGTCTTGCCTGTAACTGTCGGTCTTACAATGCCTCATGGGACTTGTAGTTCCACAACAGCTGGAGGGCCCGATTTGCCCACCCCTAAACTAAGCCCATGAACAAAACTGTAAACTAATTAAAGCTTACCAGTCCTTAGATGTGATGGCTGCATTAGTTTTCTTTTTTTCCACCTGGTGATACTACCAGTAGCACACTTCTTGTTCTAGGATGACAGCGCTCCCTCACTGTACTTGGTCCATGGAGGAGGAGCAGCATTGTCATTCTAGCACAGGATGCTTCTTAGGACTACAGAACATAGCAGGAAGCGCACTGTAGTTCTCAGCAGATAGCTTGCAACACTTCTGGAGACTTCAGTTCAAGTTACAATATACAAGGATACTGTTTTGTTTTTTTTAGTACTTTCAGAAAATGTACATTTCATTTCTTGGGTTTAGTTATACTTTCATTTTACAGTGTCATACCCAAATCCAACCTCCGTACATGCGGCCCTGCATTCCCTCCACTCCATTAGCTCCTCATTTTGGCTGTCAATGTT